GATCCTTGCTTCGTATTGCAGTTGCGAACACCACGGATGTATCCGTAGATTTGTGGAAATAAAACCACGGTAATGCTGGAACGGATCCCGGATTATGTGACACATAAAGTACCAGGTGGCCTCACACACCCACTCAAGTGCGAAATGGCTATGAATATTCCGTGGCTTTATTTGCTTTGGCGGGATAACGCCACGACACCAACCGACCGCTCATAAATGGTTTTGCTTTATATTATTTAACAGGTAATTTGTATGTTCTAGAGCTATTTTGTTGTATGAATAATGCATTAATTTCACACCACACAGTTCTAATCTAATGTGATGTTCTCATATGCCTATATTTCTCACTGTCCTTTCTACTGATAACTATAATGTATTTACTGACATGTTAAATTTCTATCAAAATGATTGCGCAACACAGCTTTTAGTATTTAGGTTTGTTGCATTTAAAATATTAGAACAAATAAAAAAGGTAGTAGATAAAGGCTTGAACGTTGCTCATGTGGACTCTGTTTTTGATGGTGTATGAAGCCTGTATCCTCAACGTTTTGAACGTCCTTACGGTCTCAATTTCCAAGGCAAAGTGACCTACCCAGTGGAGCCGTGCTGTTATTTATTACAGGTCCAGATGTCGGTAGAAACTGCTCCACATGATCGTCACGCGATAGCTAGTGGGAAGTGAGACACAAAATGGCGTTAAAGAGCCTATCACTTTCTGGTGAGGTGGGACTGAGTGCTCAGGATAGCTGGAACGGTGGAAACCTGTCGGGCATAAACGAGAGGAAGAGGATGTGATAAAGGGGGAGGTGGGTCGGATGTTTCCTTCTCCCATGGAGCCAGAAAACTTCAATAAATTATATTACGTAACAATAATGATGACATACGTTCATTATGTTTGTTTATTCTCGTATATTGGATGAACTTTACATAAATAACAAATGCACCGATAATGAAGAGGTCGTTTCTGACCAACTGTCCGCGTGTTTCATCGCCGGCTAATGAAATGATTTAACGCCATTCCGTGTTGGAGAGTCGATATTAAAAGTTGCTCTTCAGATTTAACCCGATTTAGTTCGATCCCCGCCTTTACTTAACAGTGCGTATTCAGTATGTATGTTTTTTTTGTTTTTTTTGTTTTTTTTGTGGACACGCTGTATGTGCTTCCTCTTTCAACACTTCGTGTAGACCGTTTCTGGAGCGCATCCAGCATCATCAGTGGCTCCCAATCTCTGCTTACAGTAGGAATAAATTCGGTAGAAGAGCAAAGCTGACCCACTCAGATCAGTCGAGTGCTGAGGTCTGGAATTTGTACAACTCTGTAAGATTTGAAGTTTTCACAGCGGTGAATATGAAGATTTCTGTCTTCTGGGTTCTTGCGCTGTGTAGTCTGGTCGATGATAACCAACGTTTCAGAGGTCATACTGCCTCCGTCATCAGGGCGACGTTACATAGCATGACTCAGTATTAGTGTAAATTATTCATAGTAGTATGATGCATTTAAAAATGTCACTAATATATATTTATAATATTTATTGTGATTAGACGGACAAGATTTAAACAATATATATTTATTATATCACAATATGACGCAACTTTACCATCTCAATGTCACTAATATAAAATGATAATGGAGGGGGGGCTTTTTTTGCATGTCTGACCTTACGACTTTCCTCCGTGTTCCATGCGAAATATGTTGAAAGCTTTTCCGTACCTTGGTGTCCGGAACATTCTTACAGAAATGTACTTTACGTACGCTTGGTCGCTGCTGGCACATGAACAGTATTCTGTATCCAGTAAAGATTAAAGTTTCCATACAGCAGTAACTCACTTAATTAGAGCATGTTCCTATACATGTTACATCGTGATGTACTTGCCGTGGCAAGGTTGAGCGAATTTTTTAATTAAACTTGTTGAGAGGACACTCGTGGACCAAATCCTCTTAACATGTCTGGCCCGCAGAAGCGGGATTAAAACTATCCACGTATTACCCGTTCTGAAATACCTGTAATTCCCTTTGTGGAAAGTATCTCTACCAATATTAGTATAAGTAATTTTCTGTTAATAATTTCCCATATACGAATTACAGGACGACGTGATGTTAAGAATTTTAATGCGATCTTATGAGAGGTAATGGAGTAGTTAATGAATAAGGGAAATAGTTTCTAAATAAAGTCACAAATAAGGTTAAAACCTTTTTGAGTTAACAGATCTCATGGAAACAGCCCCAAACGTTGCTTGTAGGCTATATTTTTAAGGCACGAATAGAAGTGGAAAGTTGGTCAGGTAAAGAAAATATGTGAGACATGAGAAGGAATAAGAAGCAGAATGAGAGGGGTAAGGAGACAAGAAGATTGGGAAGAACGAGATGGAGAAAAGTAACAAAGTTAGATTGACAATAATGACGATACTTATCACATACGAAGATAAATACGAGTAATAAGGTGAAGAAGAAACATAATAAAAGGGAAATAAGTTATGATACACAAAGTAACTGTAAAGAAGAATGAGGAGAAGTTAACAAGAAATTCCAAAAAAATGAGACACAAAGACGCTACTCGTCTGTCGAGTTCTGTGAAAGACGGGGAATTCTCGACTATCTGAGCGACTGCTAGCTTCTCAAGGACTGTACTTCATGTAGCTGATCACAGTTTTGTCAGAAAGTCGCTATTCCACATATACTTTGAACGACTTTAAATCCACTTCACATGTAGGCTATTACCGTGCCTACATTCGTCAGCTAAACTTTTATAATGCAAAGTTCATGTACTTTTGAAGACATTGGCACTTTCTGAAATTTAAAGTAGGTTGTGTTAATTTCGCTTCACTCGTATGTTTGCAAAACCAGATATTGTGTCTCGTTTCAACGCGAGTTCATATACTTCGAGTACGAAGTACGGCCCCAAATAAGATGCTTCTGTAATGTTGCGGCAGGCAATTGTTTATGTGTTCAGAATCCACTCGACACTTGGCTTCTATTGCCTGCAACATGCAGATGGCTTGAAGCACTCCAATTACATAATCAGACACAGGAAGAACTCGAAACCAAGAGAATTTGGAGATTTTTAGAAGCATCGTAAGTCGTTAAAGTAAAGAAATGTGGCGGACACCTAAATCTTCAGCGAACAAAATTGTAAGAAAGAAAGCAAATAGATAAAGCCTAGAAAATTAACAATTTAAACTATTAATTTTACATTCTAAAATATTAAATTATATAATTCCGATTAATGTTCCCCGTAAGAATGTCATTTATACAAAAATACACATTTAAAGAACTAAGTACTTTTTTTAAGTTTATCGTACGTAAATTGCTATGTGTAAGGCGTATACGCGTTTAAAAGTTACTGGTTTTTACCTCACGCCATCCAGAGCAGTACGTTAATTCCCACTCTGACATCATAAATGTGCACAGACGTTTGGTATTTTAGGTAGTAGAAATTTTAAAAAAAATACCGGTGAGAGGTGGTATAGTGGGATGTATTTATACCAAGTATGTCAGTTGCTTCAAAATTACTAGGGTATCAAATATACTGATTAGGTTTTGAAGTTTTACGGTGGTGACTGCGAAGACAGCCATCTTAAAATATACTAATGATGATACTAGTAACGTTTCCTGATAGACAGAAGAAAATGGCCTACAGAAAGTTAGTCTGGAATGACGCTTTGGACATAATGTAATGCAAATTAATTGCCACTGAATTTCAGATCAAGAGTATATTTGTTTTTGATTTTGTTCTCTGTGTGAAACCGTTTGTAGTTGTTTTGGACAAATACAAACAAATGCATATTGCATTTTAGTAGCTTCTGTTCCAATTAGAATTATAGGCTTACAAATGCGCAAGCGTGGGATATTCCTAAATAACAGATGGTTCAATTATTGTTCAAACAGGACGATTCTGGCTCCAATCTATGCATTGTACACAGTTTGTGCAATCAGATATACGAAACAAGACACAGTTTAATGGAATCAAATACAAGTCTCTGTATGCAGAATAGCATCCAGTGACACGAGGAACATTATATTATAATACACTAATGGAAGAGATTCCGTTTGCTGTTTGATCCGTTTTAATGAAACTGAAATGTTTATCTTTTATTTCTTTTATTTGTATCTATCATGTGGTAATTCTATTACGAAATCACTTATGATTACATTTAGTACGTATAAGAATTGCAAAGTGATTTTACGGTGCAGAGTGAATTTTGAGTATTTGTTAATATGTGCCCTACGTTTACAAGAACCCACCAGTTGATCCTCCTATCCTGGTCTACTTTAAACCATTATATCCCTTCACTCACGGTTTCTCTGAGATCTGTTTTAATACAATCAAAACCTAGTATATTCCTTTCTGGTTTTCATACCCAAATTTCACACACATTTCTTTCATCTTTCCCCAAATGTTCTGCATTTCCTACCCATCTGATTCTGACTGATATAAAGCTCCTAAATAATAGACATATTTTGTATTTTTTTTCCACTCTCCTGTATCTTCCTCTTTCCAAAGTCCAAATATTTTCTTTGACACTTCGTTTTCAAACACCTTCAATATGTTCTTCCCCATTAACTGTGCAATAATAAATAATTTCCTCATAATAAACAATTGTATACGTGTTCTGCCCTCGAACGTCTGTTCGAAAACAATCCGTTTTGACTTACGAGTTCTCTTTAGTCCTCAAATCGAGACACGATGGCGTCTGCAGTGGGTTGGAACAGCAACTTCATAAAGCGAGATTTACTGATTCCTTGCTGAACCTTTTTCATGTACGTTATTTTGATTGTGTGCAGCGTGATTATTTCCGAAACAGCGGGTTCTTATCTGCAACACTCGAACATCAATGATAATAAGTATGCAGAGTCTCAAATAACGTATTTTTAGAATGTGTGAACCCCAGTTTCTAGTAGTTACGTATTTATTCGGGCTTGTATCAACATTTTCACATTATCTACGGAAACTGCGATGCAGAGAATGTGATAGAAGTCATGCTTTTTTTTTATTTTTCAGAACGAAGCTCTTGACGTGGCGTTGACATCTCTCTTCGAGAAGATTGAAGCAGCTTCCAGATACGAATTTCTGTGAGTACCTTATATTTTATATGGACTATTAAACCGACACTGTAGAGTGAATACCGCTTCTGTGTGCACATGTGTAGCCCCATAGAACTCTTTATTCATTTCTCTGAGAGCACGAGGGGTCATCACAAAGAAGTCATCCTACGTGTTGGAACTATTATGTTACCAATTTTTATCATTTTCTTTCCTTCGTTCATTGTTTCTCTCTATTTCTGTTAACCCTTCGCGTTTTATTTCTTGGGATTTTTGGACGCAACTCTCAAGAAGTTATTCAATTCAATTCAATTAATTTATTTACGTGTTTGCCAACAGCAAGAAGCCAATAACAGGCAAACACTGATAATATATACAATAATAGTGAAATAATAATGGATAATATTACACAAACGGATTAACTAAACTTATACATGAACAGTATTAAATATAACTGCCAAGTACAGGCAAACCCAAAATAGAAACAATATTAACACAGAGCAAAAAATGAAGAAATATAAACAAAAACAAATAATCCACCTAGGGAACACTAATATAATTGTAAAACTTTAAAAAATATAAAAAGACAGATAACGAAGCTAGATCATTTCCCTTGTTGAGTAATTAATAAAAATTAATTTCAGCCGCATTCTGTGTCCAATAGTTATCGTTGTATCTCAGTACGACTATCCTAGTTTTATAAAATTTTAGAAGAATATCCCCTTTCACTAGAATTGTAAGTAAAATACACACGCCTTATTTCCGTTCTGTAGTTTGCACAAAAATAAAATGTATTTGAGCTGCATGGCAGCCTATATTTTGACAAAAAAAAACTGACAGTCGAGTCTATGAGAGAGCTGAAATCAGTGCCTGTAAAATTTAAATTTAAATTGCGAGTTGTGCCGCTTACTATTGCTACATTGTTAATGGAGAGCAGAGTTCAGAAAAATTAATTCCGTTTTTGGAATCTGGTTATTAGTTTCGTTAATTACTAGATGTAATTTATGTTCTATTTGATCGTGGATAGCATAGAGCAACTGTAACTTAATTACTTCAACTGGAAGTTTGCAGATTCAGTAATTGAACTTTTCATCCAATCAAGATCAAGTTCAAATGATAAAATTATTTGTCAAGAAATTCCCATCAGGGGAGTTCAGTACCAACGCGCAACTCCGTTCTTTGGTCTTCTGATCTGACTTCCCACTGAAGGAATCCATACACTTGAGATTAGAACAGCTTATGTAAAGTTAGGTTTCATAATTTACTAATACACGATGAGGTTGGTGTAGCAATAATTCTGCGGATATTTACACGGAAAGTATCCACCTCGAATTTTAGGCGGATTACCGTGATGAGGAAATCGTGTACTTCTGTCGTCCGTATTTTTCCTTCGAATGTACTAATCAGAATTGTTACTCAGGAGAAAAAACTTTTACCTTGGCAATATGAATCATGTGGAAGTCAGATGGCGGTAAGTCTATGACTAGAAATTTATCAATTAAAAGTTATTAGCTAAAACGCTATATTACGCAAAATTAAAACCTTACATTTGTTTACAAGGCCTGTATGTTTCCCTCCACAACGTTCATCCATACTGCCCTGAGTAACAGACAATACTAACAATAAAATCTTCTCGGGCAATCAGCCGCGTTAACTGGTTACCGTAGTAAACCGACGTTTCGTGAACAAACTCTGTCCCCATCTTTAGGGTTCTGATGTGACTGGGCTACTTCCGAGGATCCAGTCACATCAGAACCCTGAAGATGGGGACAGAGTTTGTTCCAGAAACGTCGGTTTACTACGGTAAACAGTTAACGCGGCTGATTGCCGTAGAAGATTTTATTGATTGTACTCGCCGCGAAAGTCTCAAATCCTATAGACAGTACTAAGTTTTAACATCCAGTCTCCTATGAAATTGACTACAGGGGCTTTTCGCCAGAGATAAAGTAACCAGAGCTTGAAGTTATTCACCTCCACTAGTGTCGAGGTTAAGAATGAGTGGAGCTTTAACTTCACTCCGTTGTAAATTTTCGTGGCGTGGTGCGTAATAACAAAGAAACCTATGCACCAGATTAAAAAGCGAATCCATTTCTAACGTAAGCAAAATTACCATCGGCGATAACAACTTTTGTAGCAGTGAAAACTGAGTTGTAAGATAGTACGAAAAGTATTAGAAGCAGCTGATGTATTGCAGCAGTTAGTAAACTGGTGGCTAATCGACACAATACATTTGTAGTTTGACTCTCTGTCACAGAGGAATAGATAAAGAATGATTCATTCGCGTGTATAGTCCACGGGGGAAAGGATAAAGGATATTAAGCCCGTAAAGATCGTATTACAGAGTTCTACTCGTGTTCTTTCAACCATAGTGACATTTTCGTTTAATGAAACTACCAGAGAGTTAAATATACGAAAGAAAAATCGATAATTATACTTTGTCATGCATCTTCAGTCTTACCTTGCACTTAAAAATTTTCAGCAGTAGAAGTATAAAAACAAGAAGAACCAGATCTTCGTTTCCGTGAAAACAGAAAGACACAGGAAGAGAAAAACAAACACGCTGAAATTAAATTTTTTTAACGTGGCCATACTGTTAGCATCTTTGTCATTCTGTTAGAAGCCCTTGAGTGTGGCAAAATTTTTAATATTTATAAACGGAATTAGAGCGTTTTAAGTATCATATTACCTTTAGCGTCTTTTGTAGCAAAGTGGACTACTTATGCCTCCGAAAACTGTAATTAATGTTGCCTGTTTCTATTTCAGCTTCTTGTTGGCTAAGTAGCATGCCATTGCGTTGAAAGCCTTCTTCTCGCATATGCATTCGCCTCGTACGGTTTCGTCGCTAGTCCACGGTAAAAGTATGCCGGCCGCGGCTAGCCTAATTTGTTTTTAAATACGTTACAGTGCCTGAATTTGCTTTTGTGTTATTCTGAATATGTTCTCACGCCATTGGGAACTGAAACAAATTCTAACGCCATGGAACAGTCCTTGAGAAGCTCAGCTAGTCAAGAAATTCCTCGCATTTTCTCGAACCCAAGGGTTCATTACCTTGTTTACAACAGTCTGCCACCGTTTCCTTTCCTGATTCCGATTAATTCAGTCCACAACCCAGGTCCTGTTTCCTTGAGATCCATTTTAAAGTTATCCTCCCATCTACGCCTATGTCTTCCAAGTGATATCGTCCCTTCAGTAACTTTTTAAATTTTTTGCTTATTTCTCATCCATGCACTCTACACGCCCTGCCCATGTTATCTGGCTTGGTATAATTACGTTAATAATGTGTGAGAAAGGGCAAATTGTGGGCCTCCTTATTATGTATTTTACTCCATTCTCCATTCACTTTATCCCTCTTCGGCCTGTTTTCTTTCGCAAAGTGACAGACCAGGTTTTACACCCGTAATACTAGAATAATTGTAATTTTGTGTATTATAACTTTACGTTCTTTGACAGCACACGAGAAGAAAAAGATATTCTGAACCGCATGATAGCAGGCATTTCCCGAATTAAATCTGTTCTTGAATTTCTCATGAATGAATGAATGAATGACGCCTTTTCCAGATATTTGGACTTGGCCATATTTTGAAGGATTTGTTTGTTGTTTGGCCAAACAGTGCCCTTAGCGAATTTCGAAAACTGTTCCTTGTTGTTGACTGGTATATACAGCCTCACAGCACTGCACTCGCAGTGCCTCTCTTGCCTTCTCTGCTTCCTTTATATAGCCTTCCTAATATGTAATCATCCACGAACGCCCTCAGGCGAAATCCGAAATCCTGCAGCAGAAGGATCAGGCTTATAGTGTTGTATGCTTATTTTATCCTGCAGTTTAATATTGTGCAGTGCTGTATTCCAGTCTGTTGATGTCAGGCTGCTTTGAAAAAACTACATTTTACGTACGGTTAGCATCAAGGACTTTAGCATTTAGAGGAACACTGGTTTAGAAAGAGTTTCATATGTCACGCAATGGTAGGTTTATATGGCAAATGCTGCTCTCTTCTACCAAAGAATAGGTAGTAATATACGGTCACAAATTTCTGATAGAACGCATGAAGAAAGGACCTAAGTATAAAGCCTAAATACATAATAATATTCCTTTCTTTTGTAAGCCACCACAGCCATTTGTAGTTAAAGACCATTACAAATCTCAGTCCCCCTTAAGAATGTGTTTTAACATGCAAATTCACTGAGCGTCAGAGAACAGCAATGGCACTTCCATTAAACCTGGTCTATTTTAATAAGTCGTGCTTGTATTAGGGATCATTAAAGAGGAAATCCTTCAGCGCCGTCCAAAAGAAGTAATCCCTACACAAAAGACAGGCTCAGTTAGGGGATTCTTAGAGCTTATTGCTAGACACTGCTTCTCCACAATTCTTACATTGTAGATCTATCCCTCTTCTGCAAATGCTCCAATCTGTCTTGTTCTTTCATAACTTGTAATTTATGTGAATATCTCTTTGAATTAATAACGACGTAGTCATAGAGTAGAGTGCTCTTGCCAAAGAACAGCTTACATCACACTAATTCCATGGAGTCCTCCACGAGAATTTAATAATCATTCAATTCATCAAAAACTTTGTCGTTGTTATTGAGACTCAAGGGTCATTGTCGTGATGTTAAGAACCCTCCATTGACTCTTAACGCGAAGCAAACGAGTCTATATGGACGTTGGTGTTATGGATCGTTAGTTGTGTATCGGCAGTTTTGTTTGTGGTTTCCTAACAAGTTATTGGGTTTTTACTTTTCTACTGGATGTGGTTCAGAAATACAGAAGACATGCATTAACTCGCAGTCATATAGAACTGGTGGAAATTAAGTATTTTGAAAGCAGTTCGGTTTGCGCATGTCTCGTTTACTTGGATGGCATGGCTCTTGCGAACATGATAATGAAACTTCTGTCTACATTAGAGGAGGAGAATTTCTTTACCAACTGAATGACTTGTCATTAACTCGTCTTGTCAATAACATGTAATTAGTTTACTATTCCTTTATTGGTGCATTTTTGCAAAGAGACCCACTTAGCATGTACACTTTCT